TAGTCTTAGCATGTAATATTATTTGAGTTTTAATATAAGATTACTTTATTTGTAATTAGACTTAGTATGTAATTATTGACTACGGAAGTGGTGCGACAAGTAGCAATTGACTATTGTAGTCTTAATTAGACTTAGCATATACGCACGAAACACTTAGCATACATGACTATTTTAGTCTTAGCATGTAATATTATTTGAGTTTTAATATAAGATTACTTTATTTGTAATTAGACTTAGTATGTAATTATTGACTACGGAATTGGTGCGACAAGTAGCAATTGACTATTGTAGTCTTAATTAGACTTAGCATATACGCACGAAACACTTAGCATATACATGACTATTTTAGTCTTAGCATGTAATATTATTTGAGTTTTAATATAAGATTATTTTATTTGTAATTAGACTTAGTATATAATTATTTACTAGCTAGGGTTGTATAATATACGTCACCTAGACTTAGCTTATATCACGATTTGTAATTAGACTTAGCACGTAAGGTTGTGTAGGGTTCTAATGTACGACATTTACACTTAGCATACATGACTTAGATTGTTAAAACATAAATGTCTCGTGACTTAGCAGATGTTTCTTGTATCAACAGATGGCTGACCGCGATGAGGAACAGATATTGTACGATACAATCGCGGAGGGAAGCAGCCAGTACTGGAATGAAGAAGAGGGGAACGAGGATCCAAACCAGTACTTGAACGAGGAAGGGAACGTGGAGAGGGATGCGGAGGGGAACCAGCAGGGGCACGTGGAAAGGGATGTGGAGGGGAACCAGGAGGAGGAGGCTAGTGGTAGTCAACCCTCCGTTGGACAGAAGAGGGCACGCGGGCAACGAGGTGCAGCGAAGAAGCTTGAGGGTCGGCACATCATAACGGAAGTGGAAGAAGATGGACGTCCTAGTGCCCCGGCCGAAGCCGCCAAGAACTATGTACGTCACAGCGGTTGGGTTGTGCGGGATAACGTGCCTGTCAGTACGGTGTACTGGCGAAGAACAAGGGCACGCGGAGATCATGAGAGCTTTGTCCCAGATTCGGAGAAAGAGATGCTGTGGACCACAATGCTCGAGACATTCACCCTTCCTGCGGGTACAGAGGACAAAGTGAAAAGGTGGACTCTGAAGAAAATGGCAGAACAGTTTCAGAGCTTCAAGGGAGATCTGTACCAGAAGTATATACTGAAGGGGCAGACACCGAACTTCGACACATTCCCAAAGCTAAGGGATCACTGGGACGAGTTCGTTGCATATAAGACAGGTGAACAAGGGCAGGCGATGATGGAAAGAAACAAATAAAATGCCGCCAAGAAGAAGTACCATCACCACTTGGGGTCAGGAGGCTATAGCGTCGCGATGCCGAAGTGGGAGGAGATGGAGGCTAGCTTGATTGAGAGGGGTATCGAACCGGCAACAGCCAATTGGCCGGAACGATCGAAGTTCTGGTACTATGCTCACGGTGGAACGCTCAACCCAGCTGATGGCTCACTGGTCTTCGGCGATCAGATACGAGAGGCTGCGCGACGACTAACAGATGCAGTGGAAGCCTCCTCTCAGGGCACGTTCCGACCAGACAGAGATAGGGACGAGCTGACACTCGCCCTGCAGACTCCAGAGCATCCAGGACGAACACGAGGGAAAGGGGTGATTCCTTGGAAGATTGGTTTCAAGGAGGACATCCACACGTACAGGAGTCGGATAAGGAGCAAGAGAGATACCGAGACGAAGATTGCAGACCTAGAGTTCCGGGTATCGAGCTACGAACTCAACATGCAAGAGGAGGTGGCAAGGAAGGTTGATGAACGCATGGCCGCACATCGGTCCCATGATCCCCAGCCGACCATTCCTCCTGCAATGGTGAGCCCGTCAGGAAACCGTAGCAGCTGCGCCTCAACGGGGCAGGTAGGATCACAGAGCGTGGACGCCATGCAAACACAGGACGAATCGACCTGTCCCGTTGATGACATCACTCAGCGGACACCATGTGAGCTGCATATTCCTTTCAAGAACTTATCAATAAAGGTAAGATTTAGCCATTCCGCTAGTTGCTGCTTATATATGTTGATTACTAATAGATAATCTCTCACAACATGAAGGTGGCGTCGGGCATGGCCATCCCAACGGACCCTTCAGGTACTTACCACTGCAGGCCGATTCCAGCAGGATACTCGAAGGTCGAAGTTGAGTTGGTCGAAGGCGCGTACGAGGACCTCGAGCTGGATTACCCTGGAGGAGACGGTGAGACGCATCTACGAGACACAAGCCATGCCATTATTCTATGGCGCAAGCGGTACATCATCCTCCCTGGGCGACAAGCGGCGTCTCGTGCACCATCTCCTCCGGCTCCGCCATCTCCTCCTCAGGATCCTGCACCGTCTCCTCATCATGCTCCGCCAGCACCGTCTCCACCTCAGGCTCCAGCATCGACTCCTCCTCAGGATCCTGCACCGACTCCTCCTCGTGCTCCTACACCTACTCCTCCGCAAGCTCCTCTTCCGGCACCTTCAAAGTCAAGGGTCCCCCCAGCTCCACCGCCTGCCCACACAAGGGCAACGAAGAAGGCGAAAGTTGACGCCGCCAAGAACAAGGACCCGGGGTACGATTGCACGCAAGAGGAGCTTGACGCTTACGTTGCATCAGAAGTCAAGAGACAATTCAAGCCTCGAAGTCCAGAAAAGAAGATTCCTATAGACCCTAGTGTCATGAACTTCTTCAGGGGTATGTCTGCACCTGTCAAGGAGGCCATCAAGCTATCGGACTATGAGCGAACGCTGAAGAAAGCATCTTCTGGAAAGTCCAAACCAGTCCCTCAGCTTGGAGAGCAACCAAACCAGGAGATCGAGCCGTTGGTGACCGGGAAAGACATGACGATAGAAGAATTTATTATTGACACCGGTCTAACTACGGATCATTTGCTAGGAGTTGAACCAATAGAAAAGGCGGAATTGAAATACATGTACGAACTCGGTAAACCAGGTAACACCAACCGGGACTAAAGATCGAGCTGACCTTTTTTTTTTTTGCATGGCCCTGTTGCTGCATGGTTTATATATATATATATATATATATATATATATATATATACTACAGATCGATCTTTACTCCCGGTTATTTCACCCGGGACTAAAGATAGCGATCTTTAGTCCCGGATTGGTACTCCCGGTTTGGAAACCGGGACTAAAGGGGGGTTACGAACCGGGACTACAAAGGGTTTCTCCACCAGGGTCACTTCGCAATAACATTGGATATTAAAACAACCATAATTTTTAAGCTACATTTTTTCAATACTCCTATGCCTTTTAAACCGGTAAACTATTAGTTATATCGTTAGATCTATCTTACATAAAAAAATAAGAATGTATTCGTGGTACATGATATTTTCAAAATATTACCGCGCAATTATATTTCGTCGTTATCGTATTCATGTTAGGCTGCATGGAGCCTCTCACCCACTCTACATGAAATGTTTATATATGATCGCCTTTCAAACTACATCAATTATATTAGACTATGTAAACCCAAAAATTTAGTGGAGCTTCATGTTCCACCTAATTAATCATTTAATGAACTATGATAATAGATATGCAATTTCAAAAACACATTATTTTTACTTTCGTTGACATGTTTTTTTTTAAAATAAGTCTACCTTAATTTCAAATGATAAAGAAAATTATAAATAATTGCTTATAGATATTATTTAAATATGATACAATATAAAACTAATAGGTTAGAAAATTATAAAAGCAATTAATGCTGATGAAACAATTTATGGAGAAATTATGGTAGATGTTCTCAGTTTAATATTTTGCCCTTATAAATATCTCAAACTTAGCGTATGACACATGCCCGCGCGAATGCGTGGGCTACCTTACTAGTTCATATATAAAAGTGATACTACCTCCATTTTTCAAAAGATGATTCCATTGACTTTTGAATATACGTTTGACAATTTCTTACTAAAAAATTGCATAATTACCATATATTTTGTTGTGAGTTGTTTTATCACTAAAATTATTTAAAGTATGATTTATATCTTATGCATTTGCACAATATTTTGAAATAAAATGAATGATTCAAAGTGCCTAAGTCAACAATATCATCTAGTAAAAAATGGAGAAAGTATATTAGTATTTTTTAAAAAATAAAACGAATGGTTAAATGTGCCTAAGTCAACAGTCTATCTATTAAAAATGAGGAAGTATATTAGTAGGAGTACAAACTGTATATAGAATTGGCATTGGATTCCCTAGCGTTTGTTGCTGATAATTGTATGTACGTGTGGACTCTAGCGACATTTTTTTTCCTCCATATACACATTGGTTCGCACATCAGAGTGTGGGGTAACCTATTTTGATAAAAAAAACAAAAGCAGGTTAGCTTCCCAAGATTATACTGCAACATATTTCTACTGATGAAGTATACACTCGAGGACATATCGGTTGCTGTAATAATTAAACCAAATCCAAAGTAAAAAAAAATGAATTTCCATATTGATTTTAAGATATTTCAGCGTAGTTTTTTTAAACATTAGTTTTTAAATCGCTTTAACTCTCGCCCGTACAAACGACTGATTTTGCATTATAACCACAACAATATGTGATTTTATACTATAAAAGTACTTATTCTGGTGACTCTGAAATATTAAACTATATAAATTTATGAAAAAAATATTATAAAGGTTAAAGTGTTTGATTTTGGACAAAGTTATCCTGACAAATAGGACCCCCACTATACTTGCAAACCATTTCATGCAATACTCGTTCTACTCTATGTATACTCCTTATAAAAGGGATTAGTCGTCGTGGTGGTTCAGCCACCACTCCACTATCAAGTCCCAATTTTTTTAGTACGTATATACACGCGCTGATGCCAGCACCAACGCGCACATGCATGCCGGCGGTCATCAAGTTAGGGCGTGTTTAGTTCACTCCCAACTACCCCAAACTTCTAACTTTCTATCATATCTTATCACATTCAAAACTTTCCTACACACATAAACTTCCAACTTTTTTTTTCAAACTTTTAACTTTTCCCAAACTTCCAACTTTTTTCAGGAACTAAACGCAACCTTATATACAGTTTTTATGTTCATCAAACTAGAAATCTAGCATAGTTATATGTATTCTTAATTATAATTATATCAATAAATCTGGATAAATCTGAACATAGATATACTCATCAAAGTCCTTGTCTTCTTTAAACTCGCAAAAATCGAAATTCATCACCTAGTGGTGTCTTCTTAATTTTTACTCGTCAAGAGAGAAGAAGAGCCATATCCATCCCGAGAGAGCCCATCTCAGCCTCAACGGCCTGCAGTACGTTGGCTCTCAAGATCTACAGCAAATACCCAGTTGTAAGTGTATAATATTAACTCAAGGCTCAAGGTAATATATATATATATATATATATATATATGTGACGGCTGTTTTGTACACCTGGGTGTACATACTCCCTCCTCCTTATTGGATATCCATTAGTTGGTAATGAATAGTTGGGTTTAAAAAATAATGTTTAATTGTTTTCAAATTTCTGCATGCATGTCGGTTGTGTTCTTTTTTTTTTTTTCAAATTTTCATATGCATGCACACCGGACGGTGAGGAATGGCGACATTCAAAATTTTATATATACTTTTTTCTTAGTTAGTACAAGTATATACTCTTTTAACTAGTATATACTATATTTTTTCAGTATTACATATTTTGTTCTGTTTATAGTAGAATATACTATTTGTTTTCAGTATATACTGTTCTATTCCAGTATGTATTGCTTTTTTTAATCCATTATATGTATACTACTTTCATAGTTAGAAGTAGTATAAACCCATATTTAATTTGTTTTAAGCAGTATATACTTTTTAATGTAGTAGCAGTATATTATATATACTAATACATGCCCATCAGGATCACATACTGATACTGGTTCACTGGCAAATGCTCATAGCGATGTTATGCATAGTGGTTCATTAGTCTGGTTTCATTTGTCACATACCATTTCATTCTTCCGGCTTCTTGGTTTGCGTCATCCGGAAACATGTTCATCACCAGCATGTACGGCTGCCGTTGTGAATTAATGGAGCAATCAAATATGTTATCTTTGTGCTGATAGTTTTTAAAGACGGTATATAATATTTTTTATGTTAGTAGCAGTATATACTGTTTTTAAACTAAAAAACAGTATGTACTGGCCACGTCAGTAAATACCATTTTTTTTAAGTTTGTACCAGTGTATATTGTTTTTAGTTTAGTAGCTGTGCATACTGTTTTTAGTTTAAAATCAGTATATACTATCTAGTAACAGTGTATTAATACCTAAAAATATGTACTTACACTAGTTAGCTCATTGATTGGTACCTTCACTGTAGAAGCATAAGACTGTCAGCAAAATAGTGGAGTATATTGCAATTTTCAGTGTGGCGCAATGGGGTTGATCTGCCGGAGCTCTCGCCGGTCCAGAAAACAAATTGCACTGACGCAGCGGCCGCGCACCACTCGGCTGGGAACGCTGAGGGTGAGGGCTGGGAGGATGAGTTGACGCCGCCCGTTTGCGCCTTCTGGGAACGCCGGCCGACGATGGAGATCGAGTGGCGCCACCACTGCTGTGCGAGGGGTTTTGCCGATCAGCCGGCCAGCACGTGCATGCATGGTTCTCGAATCTACGACACTGCATGCAACAAAGAAATTATATGCCTAATCATACAAAGGGCCTCGGATCAAACAAACGAGAAGTAATGGATCTAATTAAGCAGAAAAATTAATCGAAGTGATTCAGGGAATCTTTTCGGTCTACAACAAAGGACTTGTATTACCAGCACCATCGAAGATTTGATCTGGATGGGAGGGACTCAGATCAACTCAGAAGAAGACTATACTACTTGTCTACCTCCTCGATGGATCCGCCGAGGATTAGAAACTGCACTCCATTCGCCGTCGACGGGGAGAAGTGGAGCACGTACGACCTCACCAGGGAATCTCGTCGGAGATGCCACCACAACCGCCGACGACGATTGGTACAGGAGGGACGAGAGCTAGCCGCCGCTCGTGGCGACGTTGAATGGCTGGGAGTAGTACGCTAGGATTAGTCATTTGATTTAATTACGTGGACAGTTTGTTGATCCGAAAAGAATGGGATAATTAAGAATCATGCATGTTATTTGTTATTGTTTTTAAAAACGAAAAATCAAAGCGGGTATTCTAGGATGAGACCCGGTAGCATGGATGATGCGAGGGGCCTTACGTACTCCTGGGAGTACAGAATCATTTTCTCATATATATATATATATATATATATATATATATATATATATATATATATACACACACACTATACTACACATGGGGTATAGTACAGCTAAAACACACCCACACCCCCTCCCCCAAAGCGCTCCACCCCCCCTCCCCCAACCCCCCCCCCCCCCCCAACACCCTCCACCCTCCCTCCCTCCCGCACGTCTGCCTATCTATTTTTTTTACCCCCACTATCCTCTCTCTTTTCAATTTTCCGTTTTTTATGGATCTCGAGATCGACAATGCATGGAGGAGAGCAGTATCCACGCCGCCACCTCCTCCATAGCAATTCTACGCCGTCGTCGTCTCTTCCACCGTGCAGCCCCTTGTCCCAATCCTCCACGGCGGCCTGCGGTCCGGGACTGGAGTGCTGACATCCAATTTGCAGTGGCGGCGAGGAGGAGAGGCGACGGTCATGGCGCTCGGTGGAGCAGTTGAATGGTGCATGTTTGTTCGATCGCTTGGCTTTTTACTCACTCTAATCTAATCTTGATACTATCGTTGAATTGATCTGAATCCACCCGTCTGCACGTACACATACGTGCCCTCGATCGAGTGTTAGATTGCGCAATTAGTTGGTGTTTTATTTTGCTACATGATCTGTCTGCTCGATTGATCTCTATAGGCTATAGCTTCTGCCTTTCTTTGGAGGAAGCACAGCTGCTGTGTTAGGTCAACTAATTGCAGCTTATTTGCCGGCGCCAGATATGTGTTGATTGCTTGTGTTCCTTCGTGAGTTTGTATAATGTACATGCATGTCCCATTGATCCATCGTGGATCAATTTGTTCCTGTTTGGCTAGTTGCATCTTCCTTGCTGCGCTTTAATTTGCACTGGGTTAAATTAAGCTATACACTTCAATTAACCCAAAGTTCAACCCAGTGATGTTTTAGCACCTGTGCAGTGATGTTTTAGCATCTGGAAACACCTTTTCCTATTTTTATTGTGTGACTGAGCTGAACATAATAATTTCACAAATTTGTTGAGTCAGGCCAGTTGAAAATATATAGTTGCTGGCTGTTTTGCTTCCAGTTCCATAATCATTTTGTTTCCGTTCATATCCTTGTGCATTTTTAATACATAGCATCTGCAATTATTGAGGAAATCAAATGCAATTTTCAGTTTTGTTTCATTCTACCTGTAATTCTGGATCCGTTTTTGTTCAGATATTTAAGTGGGAAACAAACTTACTGTGAGAAATTATACTCCTTTCTTTTACGTGCTCCCTCTAGCTGTTGATGTGCCATTCAGACTAATCTTTCTGTTTGTGTTGTCATGCTCTGTGATTTCAATTTCCTAGCAACAACATGATAAATTAGGAGCGTACCTGATATTTCAGTTTTATAACTACACATTATTCTTGAGCAAAAGCATAACATGATTAGGAGGCTCTCTGAATTTTTTCCTCATCCGGAGAGGCAGAAAGTGGTGTCCTCCTGTCAACTGCGTTGGTGCATGTCAGGTCCAGGGAGGAGTGACGGCAAGGATGGCTTCATGGTGGTGACGACGATAATGAGGCAAAGCACAGATTCTGGGGAGACTTGGCACAGCAAGCCAAAGTTTGCGCATGTTTCAAACGGAATGTTGAGAAGCATCGATTTAATAGTAATTTAGTTACTAAGAGACAATATGTTGTTGAGCTATCAGTGTAATAGTAACTTGGTTACTATGAGAAACTTTGTGGCAAGATCAATATGTTATGTGAGAACCATCGGTGTAAGAGTAATTTATTTACTAAGAGAAATCTCGTGGCGATACCAATAAGTTAATTCTAAGTAATTTATTTAATAAGAGAAGGTATACGAAACAATTAGGAATACTACTATCGTAAGTAATTTATTTACTAAGTGAAGAGTTGAGAACGACCTGAGACTCTGAGAGTGATTCATTTACTGAGAGGAGGAACCAAATTAGACTCTGAGAGTGATTCATTTACTGAGAGGAGGAACCAAATTGAGAAGGGCCGAAAATAACCTCGGAGTAATCCATTTACTGAGGGAAGGAATCAATTTGGGAGCGTTTGAGTGTTAGTAACTCATTTTCTGAGTGGCTGATAAACTTAGTAATCTTGTTACTGATGGGATAATCACGAAAAAAGTGCGGGAGGAAATAAAAAAAAAGAGAAAAGAAAAAAGGTGCAGCCTAGTTCTGCGGGATTGATGATGTGGAGAACTTGATAGTAACTCGTTTACTTATCGAACTAAAACTACGGATAGTAACGGATTTACTTAACGAAAATTTTTTTTGTGTGGGCTGATGGGTGAGTGTTTGTGCGGGCTGCATGGGGTGGGGGGTGGGGGTGGGGGTGTACGTGAGAGGAGCGTTTTAGTTATAGCGCACCCTAGGTGCGGTTTAGTGTGTGTGTATATATATATATATATATATATATATATATATATATAGGACACTCATATGGGGCACCATGGTGCCCGGGCACCATGGTATCTAATGCACAAAATCACTCAAATTTTTCAAAATTTTTAAATTGTGAGTATATACCTAGTTATAATAATTTGATTCATACCTATACTTATCAACAAAACAACTCAAATTTAACTTTATTTCACAATACATGATTACATACCTAACTATATGTATGGATGCTATATACCTATAATCAAAATCTAACAAAAACAAGTTCAAATTCAGTTCAAACTTGCTTTAAACTAGTTAGTAAAGTAGTTAATGTTAATACCTAGGTAATTGAAAAAGTTTCATACTCATTTGAATTGGGTATATACTCAATTTCAACAATGGTGCCCGGGCACCATGGAGCACCAAACAAATTTACTATATATATATATATATATATATATATATATATATATATATACTACTTGAAAAATAAAAGGTGCTTCCATTGTCCGGACAAAAAACCGGGCGAAAAAAAGAAAAGAAAAACCAAATCGCGAAAAAAAGGAAAAGAAAAATGAATCCGATCCCGCGGTAAAAAAAGGGGCGAAAAGAAATAAAAAAGGAATCTGTCCGATCCTTAAAAAAACGGGAGAAAAAAAACTAGGTGAAAAAAAAGACCGGAAAAAAGCGATAAAAACAAAAGGTCGGAAAAAAAAATCCCAATCCTCCGGTGGAAAAAAGAGAGAGAAAAAACAAAAAAACAAAGAGAAAAAAAAACTTCCATCGCAAAAAAAAATGTCCGACTCTAAAAAAAAATCCGACTCCTACTATAAAAAACAAAAAAAGAGAAAAAAAAACTTCTACTATAAAAAAGAAAAAAACATCCTCCATCCCCGCACGCACGATGAAACGCCAGCCAAAACAAAAAAAAAACGAAATTGAGCAAAGGGATAACCTAGATTGAAGTTCCCAAAATTAAAAGAGGATAAACGATATTGTAACTCCCCTAACTTGAAAAGAGGGAATAAAATATATTGAAATTTCCCAACAAAATTCTCTAAATTCGAAGAACCCTAATTTCGTGTAAGAACCATAAGAGTCAAATCCAAATCAATTAAGCTAAGGGTTCGGGTTACTTATCGGACTTGAAGCCCCTAAGCTCACCGAAGCTTTCCGGGAAATGGCACCGCCGCACCTTCACCTCCTCGCAGTCGTGTCAGGTTCCCTGCGTGCGCTGTTCTAGAGCACCCCTCCACCGTCCTTTGCCAAAGACGGGAAACGTCAGCTTGGCGTCGCCCTTGCCGCCGACGAGGTCCAGGCCGCTCGGTGCTCATCGCCGTTTGCATGCCCACCTAGCCGGACCGCCGACATCGTGGCACGGCTTTGCGCCGCCCTCGGGTGCGCCCCCCAGCCGGCGAAGCAGGAGCCGCTCAGCGGTCGTCGCTGCACGCACGCACCAGCTTGCCGGACCACCGTCGTTCCGCTCGCTCGTCGCCGGAGAGAAATGGGATCAAGAGAGAGGGATTTGGGAGTTAGGGTTTTGCCCCTCTCCCCGGTCGGCGCTTCATCCGGTGTGGGGACGATTGGAGCCATCCATTAGATCGAACGACTCAGATTCGCCTAGCGTCAGGCCGTCGCCGCCGTTGATTATGCTGTGCCCAATGGGCTGCGGAAGTGCATCGGACCGTCCCCGCATATGTCAGCCGCGCTCAGCTGCTCACCTTGCGGGCCGTCAAATTGACTCAACTCACCGAAGATGGGCCAGCCCAAGTTTGGGCCGGCTTGGGAAGACCTAGACCGAAAGCAAATTTGATCAAACAATGTGGCTCACATTTTTCAAATTGAAGTCCGTTGGATAAACTCTTAAGTAGGCTCGAAAAATAATTCTAAAACTAAATCCTAAATCCTATGCTAATTGATCAAATTAGACTCGGTTCTACCTATTTGTTAATATATCAAATTAGACTTGATTTTTATAGATTTGAGGTTTTCAAGGTGTCGCACTATCAAATGGTGCTTGCATCGTCCGTCAAAAAAACCGGACGAAAAAAACCAAATTTATCTGATAAAAAAAACCGGGCGAAAAAACGTGAAAAAAAAAAAGAAAAACCAAATATGTCCAATCCAGAAAAAAGAGGCGAAAAAAAACCAAAATTGTCTGATCTAAAAAATCGGGCGAAAGAAAACGTCCAGAAAAAAGAGGTGAAAAAAAACCAAAATTGTCCGATCAAAAAATACAGGGCGAAAGAAAAGGTGCGAAAAAAGAAAAGAAAAACCAAATCTGCAAATCTGTCCTATCTAGAAAAAAAGGGCGAAGAAAAAAGACAGGGCGAAAGAAAACGTGCGAAAAAAAGAAAAACCAAATCTGACGCGGTAAAAGAAAAATCGCGGAATAAATGAATTTGTCTAATTCCCCAAAAATAATTTTCCAATAAAAAAAACCGGGTGAAAGGAAAAAAAGCGAAAAAAATAATAAAAAAATCCGACTCCTATCCGATTCCCTCTCAGAAACAAAAAAAAAAGTCCGACTATAGATCCGATTCCCCCTTAAACGAAAAATAAAAGGAGCCACTCCACCACTCCTCTCAGTTTCAATCTATACCATGATATCTCATACATCTTGATGAAACAAAATGATGTGCGGGATTGAATATCTGTTTACAAAAACAAAACCTACAGGTCGAGAGCATTCCATTTTTATATGATTTTAATTTTTGGGTTTGTACTTTTGTATTTGAGTCCCTGTAATTTTTATATTTACATTTGAGTCCCTATAATCTTGCAATTCTTGAGGTCGTTTTTGTTAAAAGTAATAATAAAAGTGAGAACAAAAGCAGAAAGGTGCATAAAAAGAAAAAGGAAAGCTGCAAAAAAAAAGAAAAACAACAACAAAAGTTCTGTTTCCCCTAAGTGACGAAAAAAAAACCATAGAGCCGAACGGAAAAAAAATCCGATTCCTATAAAATGCAAAAAAAAAGTGGTGAAAAAAATACTAGATTCGGTTCCTTAAAAAACGGGAAAAAAGTCTGATTCCTATAAAGGCAAAAAAAACCAAAACATCTAAAAAAGTTGTCCGATTCCCTAAGAAAGTGGCGAAAAAAAGGTTCGTAAAAAATAAAAGTTGGTTCGTATAAAATAAATAATGCACACGAGAAAAAAATGGAAAGGGCGAAACAAAGTCTGATTTCTAATCAATATATATCTCTTCTCTATCTCTAATATAATCTAACTATTTAAAAAGAGAAAATGCAAGAGAAAATAAAAACGATTCAAAAAAAACGCGTGAGAAAAAAGTCAGAAAAAAGCTCAAAAAAACATGCTAAGAAGGCTTTCCATCTTCCAAAAAAAATAAAAAAAACACGCAAGAAAAATTATTTCCATCGTCGGTAATTTTTTTAAAAAAAACATGAGAGGAAAATATTGACAGAAAAAACGCGCCATTCTAAAAAATGGTTTTAAAAAACCGTGCAAGAAAAAAACACCGTCTATTAAAAAAAATCGCTCTGAGTCGGATATGATCCATCGATTTTTTGCCACATACTACATAGCTTTTATTTCGTCATATATTATCATGTATTGATAAAAAGCAAAAAAAGAACATTTGAAAAAAAAACAAGCAAAAAAACGCGCGAGAAAATAATTGTAAAAAAAGGCAAAATACATACGAGAAAAGAAAAGCAAAAAAGGGAGAAAAATATGGTTTTCGTTGTAAATAAAAAAGCAAAAAAAAACATGCTAGAAAAAAACTTTTAGAAAGAAATGCGCCATTTCTGAATGGTTTGAGAAAATCGCGCAAGAAAAAACACCGTTTATAAAAAACAAGCTGCTCATTAAAATACAAATATTGTCATTGACATAATTATTCATGAAAAACGTATATTATCATTAGAATTTTTTCACCGTTACAACGCACGGACATTTTTCTAGTATATATAAATTAAAAAAATATTAGGATCGCTATATATTATAATTGAAAAAGTTAATAAAAAATCTTCTTTGGTTTTGGGCCGAAGCTCATTTCTTTTTTACTTTTCAGTCCATACCTCTCTCCGCTCGGTTTCCTCTCTTTGACCTAGCCCACAGCGGAGCCGTTAGCTCAACTCGCATAACTAACCGCTGTCTTCAACATTGGGAGAATAATCTCGTGCCAGTATGATGCCAGAGGGCTCTTGATCCGCTCGATCTGCTATTTCCGTTTTCACAAAATCGGAGAGAATTCACAAAACCTAGAATAAAAAGGCTGGGAAGCTCACCGGTCGGCCATAAGCAATGGAGATTAAATCTGACTAATTAAAGTCGAATTGAAAGGGAAAATTATGAAAAAAATAATAAGGGAGGAGTGAAAAATCAATTTTTGCAACGCATGGGGGAGGCACATTGATTTCGCGACGACACAGGAAACCGCA